TTTCTTTTTGCAAGTCAAAGGGAGGGATTGAGTCTCAGACTGATTAATTGCTAGGACAGACTGTTGACTACAGTGGAGGAACTGTTGTGCAGGGACTGACCCTACAAAGCAGTATTCACTTTAGCAGGGCTCTGGTGCCTGCCTAGTCTGCCCTTTGGGTGTGTTGCCTGCAGATGCAGCTTGGTGGTGCTCCAGCTGTATCTGAAGCCAGCCCCCAAGGTGTGACAGCCCTGGGGCCTCCTGGGAGTGTCCCCTCCACAGGCCAAGTTCAGCTTCAGCCTGTTCCCTGCCTGTGGCCACCTGACATAAGTCACAAAGGAATCCACAATTTTCAGCCACCTGCTCTTGGCTTGAAGGTGCCTGGAGGAAGCCAACCTTGAATCGTCGCCAGCTGCCACTAGTGCTAGGCTTGAGGGGCTGAGCAAGAGGTATGGGGCATGCAGAGACCAGGTGCTGCTTGTTTGGGTTTTGTGGACCTGTGAGAGATTTTATGAAAGTCTGCAGCATGAGCCAAGACAGATTATTGGTAAGAAAAAGCCACTGGAAGCAGTTTGGGTGGGTCTCCATGTTGAGTGGAGTGGGGTCTCAGGGAATCACCTGGGTGGGATGAACAGTGTGAGCCAGGTTGATGGAATCTCAGATATGGTGGCCTCCTGCATCTACATGCCGGGAGGTGGCAGGGCTCAACAAGAAAATAATGACTTCTGCAGCACTTCTGTCTAGGAGAAAGCTGCCTCTTAAGTCCTTGCCCTGAAACTAGACAATTAAATTCCTCCCTGTATGTTCTTGGCACCTTTCAAGCTGCTGCCTCAGCGCTGGAGCTCACAGCAAGTGAGTCCACCAGCAAATAAGTTCATGTGCAGGCCCTTGAAGAGGAACACCTGTGATTCCGGCAGCCCTCCATCTTACTCAGCCCCAATCTCCACTGGTTTTCACAGCCAGAAGCTATGAGGACTTCTCTTCCTGACACTGGAATCCTGGGCTGGGGAGCCTAGTGTGGGGCTGGGACCCTTGCTCCTCCAGGAGACCTCTGCAGCTGAGGTATACCTACTAATTTTTAACTGCCATATATGAGGGTGGGACCAGTCCATTCCTCATCTCCACTCCTCCTACCAGTCTCGAGTTGGCTTCTTCTGTATGTCCTTAGTTGTAGGACTTCTGTTCAGCTAGACTTCAGGCTGTTTTCAATGGTGGTTGTTCTGTAGTTTAGTTGCAATTTTGATGTGGTCCTGAGAGGAGGAAAGCACAGTGTTTATCTATTCTGCCATCTTGACCGGACATCCTGCTTCCTCTTTTTTAAAAACTACATATTTACCTGCTTTATTTCCTGTCTGCTTTCAGGAGCACTCACTTTATCCTAGACTTTGTCTCTGGTATCCTTTCACTAAAGGAACTTGAAATAGTTCAACATAATCTAATTTTCTGACGTTTCATTGTCAAGTTGCCTACAGCTCCAGCCTCTCTGGGCAGGGGGTTGGAGCCTGAGGGACAATGGCGAATAGTTTAACCAACTTCTTTGCCACCACATGAACCAGATCATCATTTCTCTATCCCCATAGGAGGTGAACCTCATTGCTTTCAACCCAGCCTCCATTTAGCCAGTTCTACATTTTAGAGTATTAGTGATACTCCACATCTGATACAAATTCCTGGGGAACAATTATCAGAAAAATCTGACCATCAGGGAAAATAAAACAGTAGATATCCTGTGTTACAAAGCATTTTCACATTTTTATCTTCATCCTCAGAAATGACATTATAAAGTCAATCTGAGTTTGCCCTTATTTTCCTTCATATATTTTGAGGCTATGTTATTAGAGGCATAGACATTTAAAGCAATTATATCCTCTTAGTGAATTGTACATTTTATTATTACATAGTGAGCAAAGCTTTTTTTCCTTCATAATGTGTTTTGCCTAAAAGTGTATTTTATTTAATATTAATATAGCTACATAAGATATGTTCTGGTTAGTATTTGCCTAGATCATGTTTATCTACTCATTTACTTTCAACTTCTCTTTGTATTTTTATTTTCTGTCTGTTATAAACAGTATATAGTTGGCTTTTGTTATTTTTTATACAAACAAAGTATGTTTTGGTTTTTTGGGGGGTTTTTTTTGTGGGGTTTTTTTTTTATTAGCTGAGCCATCCTGCCACCTGTTGGCAGCTCAGCAGCTGCTCAGCTCAGGCCAGGACTCAAACCGCTGTTGCTCAGAGCTCGCACTCTTGAGCAAGCTCTTAACCAAATGAGCCACTTGGCCGGCCCGAAAATATGTTTTTTAAGTGGTACGTTTGGTACATTAACTTTTATTGTAATTACTGATTTATTTCAGTTTATTTTTATTCTCTTGTTTTGATCTCTCTCTGTTTAGTTTATGTTTTTCTCTTTTTCCTCCCTTCTTCAGAATTGGTAGAGTTTTTACATCTATATTTGAGTTACATAATCTGTTTCTATTCTTTTAGAGGTTAGACTTAACATTTCAATATGCATGGTTAATAAAATCTAAAATCTACATTTCCACCTTCTGTGTAAGCCAAAATAAGAACTTTAAAACGTTTGGCCACTCCCTCTCCCTCTCCTAACTTACATGTTTATTATTGCTTTGTATATTAGTCCAACCTTGTGTCTTAATCCCCAAATGAATTCTTATTGTTATTATGAAACTTATTGTATACAATCAGTGTTTATTTAGATTTAACCACATTTTACCAATTCCTTTGATCAATTTTTCTCCCTGCATCTCAACTTTTCCTTATGGGTTCAATTTCCATCTTCCTTTAGAAATTTCTTTAGGGAGGATCTGTTGGTAGTAAACTCACCTTTTTTATTTAAAAATGTCTTTGGGGGGGGGGCTCAGTCATAAGATGATACTTTGGGTGTAAAACTCTAAGTTGATGGTTGTTTTCTGTCAGCATTTTGAAGACATTACACAGCTCCCCCAACCCCCACTACTGTCTTCCGACTTCTAGTGTAGCTAAAAAATCTCCCATAAGTCTAATTGATATTTCTTTTCTTGCTGGCTGTTTTTAAGATCTTTGTATCTTATTGCTTTTAAGTTCCACTCTGATATGTCTAAATATTAATTTATTTTCTTTTATCTTACTTGAGATTAGTTGGACACCTGAATCTGAGGATTGGAATAGTCATCAATTTTAGAAAACTCTTAGACATTATATCTTTAACTATTCATCTCTCACATTATCTCTATTATCTTCTTCTAGAAATACTATTAGATTTATGTTAGCTTTGTCTCTATCCTTTATGTTTCCTAACGTTTTCTTATTTTCAATTTCTTTGCTGCATTTTGAGTAATTTCTTCAGCTCTATCTTTCAAATCCCTATTTCTTAAGTTTTATTTAACTGCTGTTTACTTCAGCCATTGAGTTTTTAATTTTAATGAATATACTTTTTTTATTAGTTTCAGGCATATAAAATAATGTAATAGCTAGACATTTACACCCCTCACAAAGTGATAATCCCCCTTCCCCAATCTATTACCCCTCTGCCTGACCACTGCACTGTATACCTGAAGCTGAAGCTGGATAATATTGAATGTCAACTATAATTATATATATATATATATATATATATA